CTGGGTGGCTCAGTTAGTTGGGTGTCCAACTTCAGCTCAGGTCGGGATCTCGCGGTTTGTGAGTTCGAGCCCCACGTTGGACTCTGTACGGACGGCTCAGAGCCTGGGGCCTGCTTCAGATTCTGTGTCTCCCTCTCTCTCTGCCTCTCCTCTACTCACACTCTCTCTCAAAAATAAATAAGCATTTTTAAAAATGACCATTTTATATTTGAGAAAATTGAGTCTCACAGCAGGGCAAATGACTTGTACACGGTCATAAGCAGTGAGTAAGTAAGTACATAAGTAGTCAGCAGTCCACCCTGCTCTTGTGGATGGTCCAGACACCAGCCAGAGAGCATGCTTTAAAAAAAAGGCGGGGATGGGGGCGCCTGGGTGGCTCAGTCGGTTAAGTGTCCGACTTCAGCTCAGGTCATGATCTCGCAGTCCGTGAGTTCAAGCCCCGCGTCGGGCTCTGTGCTGACCGCTCAGAGCCTGGAGCCTGTTTCGGATTCTGTGTCTCCCTCTCTCTGACCCTCCCCCGTTCATGCTCTGTCTCTCTCTGTCTCAAAAATAAATAAACATTAAAAAAAAAAAAAAAAAAAGGCGGGGATGTTATGTTGCTCTGTCCCTCAGACCTTCCTCCTTAGCGGGGTTAGTTAGAAAAACTATCGGGGAATCTCCATCTTCATCTAAAAAAGTGCTGTTTGGTGTGAATTATAGCAGATTTCCCCCCCTTAGCATGCAGAAGTGTGTGGGATCCACGCTGGCCCTTTCGAAGACTCTCTGTTTTTGAATCACAGCGAAAGGCTTTGTCATGGGGAAGATCGAAAAGTTGTCTTAAAGAAAGACCCACCAGAAATAAAAATTGCAGATATGCCTCTACATTCACCGCTCTCCAAATACCAAAGCACTGTGATTTCCCACGGCGTCAGGAGGCGTCTGGTCTGATGAAAGAATAAAGTGCCGAGGTGTTTCAATCTCAATCTCTTCCTTTCCCCATAAATGTTGAAGGCCATCGTACAATTGTATTTCACCTACAGGTTCCATTTGTTTAAAGGCTATAAGTCAGTTGTACATTTTATACATTACGAAAGCTTTTTTTTTAATGTTTATTTATTTTTGAGAGAGGAAGAAAGCATGCGAACGAGGAAGGGGCAGAGAGAGAGGGAGACAGAGGATCCCAAGCGGGCTCTGTGCTGAGAGCAGAGAGCTCAACGTGGGGCTTGAACTCACGAACCGTGAGATCATGACCTGAGCTGAAGTCGGACCTTCTGACCCACCCAAGAGCCTGTCTACTTTATAAAGACTTTTGAAAGGAGATAGGCTCTGCGAACATCTAAGATAAAGTGGGGAGGCAAGGCAAACTCTCCCTGAAATTAATTTCACGCCAAATACTGAAGAACCCGAGGATGCATCCAATCCAACCATCTATCCCCACCGTGTTCCTCTTTGTCTTGTCCTCACCCCTTCGTTGTTCATCCCCTCCAAAACTCAGCCTCAGAGGAGCCAAGCTGAAACAGAGTGGCAGGACGTGGGATTGTTGTGCCTACTTTTCCGACTGCCCCAACGCCATGTTCCTGCCCCACCTCGCCAACACACTTCCCCCCACCAAATCTCTGCATCCTGGTAACTCATCACCATGGTAACTGGCAGTGTTTGGCAGATACCTCTTTGATACACCGCATGATTTTCTACTGGTTCACTGTATCTAAGTATCAATTTCCTGTAGCAAAGAATGGATAAACATAATTTAAAAACGTAAAGACGACCATATGCAAATGGTACACCACTGTGGAAGACGGTGTAGTGGTTTCTCAGGCAGTTAAACATAGAAGAATTACCTCATGATCCAGCATTTCCACCTCTGGGTATATGCCTAAAAGAATTGAAGGCAGGGGGGCACGCGGCTGGCCCAGTCTGTAGACTTTCAACTCTTAATCTTGGGGTTGTGTGTTTGAGCCCCACATTGGGTGTAGTGATAACTTTAAAAAGTCTTAAAGGGGCGGCTGGGTGGCTCAGTCAGTTATGCATCCGGCTTCGGCTCAGGTCATGATCTTGTGGTTTGTGAGTCCCAGCCCTGCATCAGGCTCTGTGTTGACAGCTCAGAGTCTGGAACCTGCTTCCGATTGTGTATCTTTCTCTCTCTCTCTCTCTCTCTGCCCCTCTCTTGTTCACACTTTGTCTCTCTCTCTCAAAAATAAACGTTAAAAAAAATTATTTTTAAGTCTTTAAAAAAAGAGAGAATTGGGATGCCTGGGTGGCTCAGTCGGTTAGGCTCCTGACTCTTGATTTTGGCTCAGGTCATTATCTCCTGGTTGGTGAGTTCGAGCCCCACATCAGTCTCCATGCTGAGACAGTAGGGAGCCTGCTTGGGATTCCCTCTATGCCCCCTTCCGTGTTCTCTCTCTCTCTCTCTCTCTCTTTCTCAAAATAAGGTAAATAAGTTTAAAAAAAAAAAAAGAATTGAAAGCAGGGACTCAAACAGGTATTTGTCTGTCAATGTTCATAGTAGTAGTATTCACAGTAGCCAAAACAGGGAAATAATTTAAATGTCCACTAACAGATGAATATATAAATAAAATGCAGTATATGCATGCAATGGAATATTTCTCAGCCGCGAAATGTAGTAAAAATTTGATACATACTACAACATGGAGGAATCTTGAAAACATGCTAATGAATAAGCCAGACACAAAAGGACAAACATTGTAATAATTTCTTTTGTATGAGATACCTAGATACCTAGAATAGTCAAATTCCTAGAGAAAGGAAGAAATAGCAGCCCCAAAGGCTACAGAGGAGGAGAGAATAGGCTGTCTAATGAGTACAGAGTTTCCGTTTGACATGGTGAAAAAGGTCTGGAAGTGGATGGTTGCACAACAAGGTGAACGTAGTTACTGCCACTGAATTGTACATTTTACCGCAAACTTTTTAAAGATTTTCTTTTTACTTTATTGTTTAAAGTTTACTTACTCATTGCTAAATGTTTTTATTTTTATTTTTTAATGGCTCTATTTGTTTTTGAGAGACAGCGTGGGCAGGGGAGGGGCAGAGAGAGAAGGGACAGAGGATCTGAAGTGGGCTGTGTGCTGAAAGCAGGGAGCCCAATGTGGGGCTTGAACCCGTGAACCATGAGATCATGACCTGAGCTGAAGTCAGACATTCAACTGACTGAGCCACCCAGGCACTAGTTATTTTTCATTGAGACAGAGAGAGAGAACAAGCAGGACAGGAGCAGAGAGAGGAGAGAGAATCCCGAGCAGGATCCAATCTGACAACGTGGCTCAGTCCCACGAACTGTGAGATCCTGACCTAAGCCGAAATCAAGAGTTGGATGCTTAACTGACTGAGTCACTCAGACGTCCCAAGATTTCCTTTACGTTTTTCAGTAATCTCTACACCCAGTGTTGGGCTTGAACCCACAACCCTGAGATCAAGAGTCGCATGTTATGCCAAGTGAGCCAGCCAGGTGCCCCGTACCTCAGTTTTTTTAAAAAAGATCATAGCGAGTCTAAACTATGCTTCATTCAGGCAGTGTTCATATCTGATTACCATATGAAGGAAATTATCATAAAAAAGGATATAGATGTCCACTTAGGACCAACTTAAAGATCAGTAAAGTAAATATATATATAAAGTAAGTATATATATACATATAATGAAGATAAAGTAAATATATATATATACCGGATATTAAAAAATTATTAAAGAAGAGAATTTAGGTGATACAAAAAACTCTAATACTTTAGGTGGATTGCCTTCCCTGAGAACTACAGAATGGGACAGAAGGCAAGAAGCTTGTATAGGATAAAGAATAAGAAACAAGGGTGGGGGGCGCCTGGGTGGCTCAGTCAGCTAAGCATCTGACTTCAGCTCAGGTCAGCTCAGATCATGATCTCACAGTTCGTGAGTTCGAGGCCCGCATCGGGCTCTATGCTGACAGCTCGGAGCCTGGAGCCTGCTTTGGATTCTCTGTCTCCCTTTGCCCCTCTGTCTCTCTCTGCCCCTCCCCTGCATGTGATCTCTCTGTCTCAAAAATAAATAAACATTAAAAAAAAAAAAGAATAAGAAATAAGGAAGTAAGTATATAATCCATGGTTGGCTTGGCCTTGAGGATTGACTGGATATACTGTGTTTCTGACCAGGAAGAGCATTTCCGTGTGCTGACATGACATCCTGGACAGGAACAGTTCCATCCTGGACAAGAAATCTCTGGGATTTCCAAAGTCAAAAATGCCAGTTGATGTGTTTTTCACGTACTGAGAACATTGGTGATCATACTTGATCTTTACTAGTTAGCTTCCTGGCGGGCCAAGGGGCCACCAAGAGCAGGTCTGGCAGAGGAGAGTCCCGCAAAGAAATTGAGCAGCAGCTGGAATGTGGCCAGCACCCTGCTCACCATGCTGTGTGTGTCAGTGCACTGACTGGGGCCCTGGCCGTATAGACACCAGTATAAAAGTACTCACCGATGGGCGCGTGGGTGGCTCAGTGGGTTAAGCGTCCGACTTCCACTCAGGTCATGATCTCAGGGTTCGGGGGTTCCAGCCCCGTGTGGGCGCTCTGTGCTGACAGCTCGGAGGCGGGAACCTGCTTCAGATTCTGGGTCTCCCTCTCTCTCTGCGCCTCCTCCACTCAGGCTCTGTCTCCCTCAAATAAATAAACATTAAAAAAAATATATGGAAAAATAAGTGTGACAAAACACTGAATTTTCATTCAGTAACCGGATTTACCCAGTTTTGCGCATAAAAGAGAATGTACGTCACCGGAAAACAATGCCGGAAGCCAGTGGATCAAAATGTTTATAATGTAATTTCTGGATGGTCGAGTTATGAATGAGTCTTATTTACATCCTTATGCCTTTATAAATTATCTGCACACACGCTCCCCGTGTGTGGGATCAGCCCTCTCCCTGCTCTGCTTGTCAGAATTCCTCACTTAATGCATTGTCAACTCTTTCACTAAACCTATTTCATATTCCATCTTTTCCTTCGCCACTTCTTCCCACCCTAACTTTTTTCAGGTCAGTTCTCAGCCGAAGACTTCTGCTTCTTGACCAGAAGAGGTCTCCGTTGCATTGCCCAAGAACAAAAATTTATTATTTTTAATTGAATTGAATTTAATTTTATATTCCACGCTTATTTATTTTTGAGAGAGAAAGAGAGAGGTAGAGAGCATGAGCAGGGGAGGGCAGAAAGAGAGGGGCACAGAGCCTCTGATCTGATCTGATCTGAAGCAGGCTTTGCACTGAAAGCAGAGAGC